TCCTGTTAGCGATGACTCATCGATTTGCTAGTCGCTTGCTTGTACGATGAGGCCATCAGCTGGTAAAAGATCACCTAGACAAACAAAAACCTAGAAGGATAGCAGCAAAGCAGAAAAGACATAATAGACACACTCACCATACTTGATGAAACAGAGATCTCCCACCACAAGTTCTTGAATGGGTATTTGTTGTATTTTGTTATCTCTCACAACTGATGTTACTTTATCTTTTTCAATTTTTGACTGCAGTCCTCGAAATTGACGCTCTTTTCGCCAGTCATTTAAGGCTGTGACAAAAACAACTACTAGAACAGCAGCCAGAATGGCCACTCCCTCAATCCATTCCAGATTAGCTAAACAAAAAGTAAAGAAAGACCTTATGCAATATTCGTGTTGCAGCTTCGGTTGATGTTCCACCTTCACTTGATGTTCCACCTGAAGTGGCAGACGCGGCAGTTGTAGTTGTTGATGCGGCCGAAGTAGATGGTGCTTTATAAAACGAAAGACCGATCGATACAACGGCACAAATGAGTAAAATGATTAACATCATATCATGAAGTGCTTCCCAACACAAACGTAGAAAACTTTTCATTGGTTTTGGTGGTATTTCATTTTTTCCAAAAACTTGTTGGCGTTTTTCTAAATCTTGCTTGTTATCTGACTGTAATCCTTTTTGACCATCCACTTTTAATTTTTCTAGCAAACCTTTCATGCCACCATAAGAGGCATTCAATTTGTCAACCAACTCCTTGCCATGTAGTTTCATCAATTCTTTCACTTGATCGACAGTAATCTGGTATTCGCCTACATTACCACTGTGGGTATCATCAGCGCCGACATCTTCTTTAGCAGTATCTTTTCCCATCTAAAAGAATGTGAATCGTGAGATATAAAAAAAAGGACAAGGACGACATAAAAAGACAAGTAAAGACAAAAAATAAAGAATAAAGAAATAGGCACACGAGGAGGAAAATTGGAGTTAGAATTGTTGTGTAACTTTGATATAAGTTATTACACTATTGTACAGTTTACAAATTTCGCTAACATTTAAAGATGTTAAAGGTTGTAGAAAGAGAATGTGTTCTAGAGTAAAAGAGTTAGCGTTTGTCAGGGCAATCCAGTCGTTTTGAAAGGTGGTTCGAAAATGCTTGAAATTTAGACAATCCAAAAAAGAAATACTTTATTGTCTCACTCTCACTACACATACACAGTGATCGGTTTAATCGCCCATGGAAAGAATGTGTTATCAAATTTTACTTTATGAAAACGAAACGTTTGCAAAGGATTATTCTGAACGGATCGCAAAGTTATAGAAGTTCTTCCGGTTGATGTCGGTATTCTATCACGTAAGAACTCTGACGTTAAGTCTCCAAACATTTTAAATAACACAAACATTTTACATGCAAAAAATAGATGTTCAAGCGAGAATCATCCGAAAATCTTAAAAACTTTTTCTCCAAAACTCAGGCGAATAGCATCACTAACTGTTAAACCAGCTTCCAGCGGCGTATCCAGGGGGG